ACCAGTACCGAGAAAATACCAACTGGAAACTTGTTGGGGCATTATCTAGAAAGACCTTTAATTGGCCGTTAAATTAGGGATGTAATTTTCGGAATTTCGCCCCAATTACGGCAATGTTTTCAGACGGAAAATTTCCGGTAGAGTGGGTCGGTTTTTGTTAAGAAGAATCCCAACAAGGAAACGGCATTCATTAATTCTTCTCGAAGTTGAATTAGAATTATTATCCTGGTAGTAGACCAGAACGTTTATTGAAGAGTTTATACGAGGTTATTTTCTTCAAACCGACAAAATGATGGAAAAATTGAAGAATTGATCTCCAAAACAGAGTTCTACAGTTCCCAACAACGTTAAAGCTGACAGTCATGAAATCAACATTCAGGTGTCAGTATTCCATTTCACATAACCTCAATTCGAGCGTCATCTTGAAAACCAACAATTTATACATAATATCCCGAAAACTCAAGATCATGAAATTCCATTATTGAAATATACATTCATTTAAATACTCTGTTCGTATATCTATTCAAACATTGTGTCTTTCATAGTTGGACTTTCAAACAAAGTATTCAAATTTCCCGTTGTTCAGGTAATGAAATTGGAAATTTGAGAATCGATATTTTGTTCTTTTTAGGCAATACCAACCGAACAAGCTGTTTGTTCTCATTGCATTGCTAAATAACAAAATTTTAGTTATAAACTGAAAATTTATCGATAACATGTTGAGATCTTGTAGTATTACTTCAGACTTAAGACAAATATTACAAACCAACGCATTCCTTTCAGAAGGGGTAACATAGAAATAGAAAAAATACTGTTTGTATCAATGAATCCCAATCAGATTTCCCAATTTATCGTACTCAGAGTACCACAGGGGTCTCCGCAATGCACGAAAACGATGAAGAAGTTGACGACTAGGTAGATCTCAGAAAATGTTACACTAGACACGTTAAACAGATTGAGAAAATGAATATTGATCTCTCCCAACTACCTACATTGTAGGTTCTGGTAAATTCCTGCTAGAAAGCAACTACTTTCCTGGCTGAAATCACGCTGGATATTGATCCGAAAGACATTTATGCAAGAAACCTCACCGAGGTTAGTCTCGCAGATGATTCTCGTTCATCCAGCAGCAGGGACAAGCTTAAATCATTCGAGTAGATCATATACAGACCGGTTTCTTATCAGTGCAGGAATTATCCAACCAAAACTGCAAAGTGCCTGGGTACAATCTTTAAACCCCTTTTTCCCCTTGGAGGTGAAAATTCCTGATTCCCTTACTTGATGTTTATTTACGCTATACAAAGAACCTACCTGCATATTTCAAGATTCTAGGTTCAGTAGCTTCGGCTGTACCTTAATATAAGAGCGGGCAACAGGTAGTAATTTATATTTTTACCTTAAAAATACAGGAACTAAACAAATATGCCAGCTGCACTGAGTAATGAATATCTTCGAGAACCAAATTATTACCTATAAATAAATGCGCAAAACTAACACAACCGTCAACGACGTCTGTCCTCACGCGTCTGCCCGCATTCGGGTCGCGTTCTCGGCGATGGCGCTTCATTGCTTAGACCGTCCCTCTACCCTCGCGCATCGTCTCCCGTCTTCTTACAATAGACGCGATGCGTAATTGCTCACTACGTTGCGTCAAGTTAATCTTAATCGTGATAACTTTTAAACGATTCGTCCAAATTACCAGATGTAAAAGTTTATCTATATTAAATGCTTAAAATGACAATTGTATCAATTTTCATAAGAATTTGACAGATATTCTGAAATGCGCATTGTAAAATAAGTATCCAATTCAATTGTATTTATGGCTCAGTATTTTGCATATTGTAATGAATCTGAAGCCGGCCCTGACCGTTATCTCAGACACCAAACATATGACTCACCGCGAAAGGAATGCGATCGACGAATCGCCACGAAAAGAATAGATGAGTACCGAAACCGCTAGAGGTATCTAGAACGTTCGTTACCAATATAAAAGGTCGGGTCCTCGCTCAGAGAGAGAATCTGTATCTAGAAAGTGAATCGTGCGTTTAAAGAAAGAATTCCAACTGTGAAGAAAAATTAAGCGTTAGTTGCTAAGTGTATATAAATTAGTTGTGATAGTGAAATATTGTTAAAAATGAATTTGTTTAAGACAGTTAATTCTTTAATTCGTTACAATATAGTGGCTACCACATAAGAGGTAGATATATGCTATCGCGGACTTTTATTTAGAACTATTTAAGATACACAATCTTACGGTACATTATCTGCATGTAACTCCAACGGTTTAGGCAGCGTCCGCCAAGACAGCTCTCAGGGAGCCAGAATTTTTCCGACTTACTTAATACTTATCGTTATATTATGACCAAAATAACATGAAAATTAAGTTTCATCTAAATCTATTCAGTCGTTTAGGCGTGAAAGAGCCACAAACATAGATACATACATACATCCCCACAAACTTTCACATTTATATTAGTATAAAGTATAGACTTGCCCAAAATCTATTCACATAAAAAATAATAAAAAGATCCAAGTACTTGCACACCTCTTTCATTGCATTTTTTAAACGCATATTCACTGAAAAACACAATGAAAAATATCTATTACTAAGATTAATGGTATGAATTTCATCATTAACCTCAGTACATTAAGGTCAATAGATGCATTTTCTTGAATTACAGCCTGGAATCCACATTGCATGGGAACTACGAATAATTCTCGCTTCTTTTTTTAAATCAACTCAAACTTTTCATTCAACTAGGATTATGAACTGCGTTGAATATTGTAATCGATAGTCCACCCATTTTTCGATATCCTACTGAAAATTTGGCTTGCACAAAGCATACTGATAAGCTAGGTCAGAACGCATATACGATTAGCCTTTTTTTTTCTTTTTTTCAACGCGCTTTTATTAGCTTCATCTGTAACTCTGTTTCTAACTCTCAAGTTCGGGATCTGTATTTGATAAAATTATCGACATTATTTCTTGATCTATTCGCGGGCAGATGGCGCTGTACGTAACCTCCTTGATATATCGACATTATTGTTTGATCTATTCGAAGGCAGATGGCGCTGTGCGTAACCTCCTTGATATAATTCGAACACACTTAACATGTATTTCTTAATTTGAAGAGTTTTTTTTTAATTAACACGCGCGCCTGCTACCTTATTTGCTGCCTTGGGCCAAAGTATAGATAAAATAAATATAGTTTAAAAATACTTTATATAGCATATATGCTTTTATAGCATACGAAACTAAAAAATGAAAAATAAATAAAGTTCAAAAAAGTAAAAAACACACTTTTAAAAAACATCCAACTAAAAAGTTAAAAATGTTTTTTTAATAAGCTCAAAAAAATAACGAACACTAGTATTATTGTGAAAAAAGCGTGAGTGCCATATTTTTTGTATATTAAACGCCCGTCACGTTTTTTACAATAATACTAGTATTTTTCGTTCGCTATTGTTTTAAGCCTATTTAAAAAAAATATTTTTAACTTTTTAGTTCGATGTTCTTTAAAAGAGTGTTTTTTAGTTTTTTTAAACTATATTTATTTATGTTTGTACACTCGTCTCGAACATATGTTCGCAGTTTCAGCTGTTTAGCAGCGATTTTATTCTATCGAAAAATATGGATTCATGAATGTGCATCAAGTTTTGTGTGAAAAATCAAGTGCTCCAAAAACACTTGAAATGTTGACATTGGCATACAGTGATTGTACTCTGAATTAGAGAAATGTTCACAGAAGGTCGAGAAGATGTGATTGACGACCCTCGCCTTGGACGCCTGAGCACATCAACAACCGATGAAAATGTCGAGGAAGTGGAGGAAATTGTTATGGAGAATAGTCGAATCGCCATTAGAAAAGTTTCTGAAGATGTCAGTTTGTCGGTTGGCTCATCAAGGGTGTATGGTAATGACCAAAACAACACCGTATTCACCAGATTTGTCCCCTAGCGACTTTTTTCTATTCCCAAGATTGAAGATACCCGTGAAGATTAAGGAGATAAAAACTGAATAGCTGAGAGATTTAAAAGAAATACTAAAAAATGCATATCAGAACTACTTCGAGAATTGGACAAATCGCTGGCACAAGTATGAAGTATCTGAGGGGGACTACTTTGAAGAGAACAAAATGGAAAATGATGAATGAGTAAATAAATTTAGGGAAAAATTAAATTTCACCTTATTTTTCAACACACCTCGTATAATGTTTCGAATGTAAATAAAATAATATCAAATAAAAAGTACATCGATAGTGTAAAATTCTGGTCTGGGAAAAAATTGTACTGCTCTGGCTGAATATTGATTAACATTAATAACATTTAATATATTAATAAAACATTCACTTAGATTACATTTGTTGGTTTAAATTGAGGTAGTCTATATGATGTAATTCAAAACTATGAAATCTGATCGAAAAAATGAAAAAACTAATAAATATTATCGAATTGAGTTTAATTGAAAAACCAAAAAAAAAATTGTTGAGAACAATTCTAAAAAAAGGGTTGGCCGGTAGTCGATGTCCCAAGAATTATTAGTACATGGAAAATAAATCGTAAAATCTGCCACTAAAGTTTTATGGCTTGAAGTAGAAGTCATACAGTTGAAGGTTGATCGTCGTAGACGGGGCATCCGCCCCCTTGTGTCCTTGACCTCCAGCAGCTGAATAGTTTCAATTTATTAGATATTTAGCTTGCTAACACATTTCCTAAACCACCTGCTAAAGTTACAAGAAAAAATAAAAAACAAAAACATCCGGCTTAATCAACAACAAAGTATACTTACCTAGTATTAAAATATTTCTTTATCGGCGTTTTTGCATAAACACGTAACAGCTTACCTTTCACAAAAAAGTGAAGGATCATCAGTTTACACCGTCTAAATGCAAAATTGTATTGCCTGTGTTAGTTGCTGTAATTTGTTTATCGCGCAGAAAATGAAATATGCATATACTTAATTAAGGTTCTTCAAATAAAATGATAGAAAAATAACTTACATGATGGATGGTTTTGGGGATCTTCAAACGACAAAAACTAGTCACATCACCCGAATAAGATCGGATTTTTAAACAATATCACGCCAAAAACACGGAAGTCAACATAAACAATAAAAACATGGAATGTTTAACAACACTAACGAGAATAACAGGTTATGTTCGAATGACAGCCGTTTTCACATGCTCGTTTTGCGCTCTTTTTGTTCAGTGGAGATAAACACCTCAAGTTTTTTGGAATTGTCAGTTTAAAATCGCACGTACTAAGAATATCTAATCGATAACTCTGGAACAGACTAGACCAACATTCGCGGACAAACAACTTCAGTTTGATTTTGACAGTGACAGCAGAATCCAGCTCAGTCTTGCGGGAGCGCGTGCGTCAAGGCTTCATTGATTTATTTACCATCCTCTCATTGATTTCGAAGAATGTATACAGGGTGATCCTTTGGGTATCGTTATTTGCAGGAAACTGCAAAGTACATTGAATATATAATGTATTTTGCTCAATAATTTGCTGTTAAATACCAGAATCAATGAGAACATTTCAATCCCACTATACTTGAATGTTGAAGGGATCATCCCCAATTGATTGGTTGAGTACTCTTTCATTGGGAATATTTATCAATTCGGAAGCTATGTACAATTTTTTCCAAAACTTTTCCAAATTAAGGACTTTTACCAAACAGCATTTCAAACGTGTACAGTGACAATGAAATGTTCTTATACAAGTCTTTTCACTTTATTTTTGCATCAAATAAAAGATTTTTGATCAGAATAAATATATGATAGAATTGACCGATACTTGACAAAAATCCATTAAAAAGCATTCAAAAAACACTTTATTATGAGATTTCCACTTGAAAGTTTAGAAAACCGCGGTACGTGTTTCGCTATAGGATAGCATCTTCAGACATCAACAATACTGTTTTTACAAATTCTGTGTTGTGTTAAGCTAATTACCTATCTAGGAACAACTCATAAGACTTGAGAATAACCAATAAAAATTTTTACCTGAGCTATCATTCAACTACTTTTAAGATCTGTGCTAAGATCTGTCGTTGCAAACTTACTTCAATGAAGGGGAACAACTCAAATCTCAGTGTCACGATTTCTCGGTTTTGCGTCGGGTCGATTTTTGGAATTTCTTCCTGACATTTCACCGGAGCAAACAAGTCCATAACAAACTATTCTTTGATTTGACGGCTCAGATCCACTAATTGGTGGAAATCATCAGTTTGATATTTTTAAATGATAATCTCTTGACATTGTCAATTATTCACATACATCATATGGAAGATCAACAGGAATGTGTCATTTGACAACTATTTTACGAAATGATGTGAATTAAATAGTCTCCGTGAACCCTAAACCTCATTTTATGATGAACATAGTTTATTCTTCTACACGGTAGTCAAACTTTCAAATTCTCTTCACAATGAAAGTCGACTTTGTATACAACAAATTGAATTTCCATTAAAAGTGAACACATTTGAGAAGTTTATTATTACGAATAGTGACAGATAAAAAGTTAATTCAATACAACAAAGACCTCAGTATCCTTACTACTGACAAGTTTGAATCGTACTTATATTTTCTAGATCAAGATCAAAAATCCTAACTTAATCGGGTTCCTGATTCTCAACTTCAGTCACTATCTTCGTGCCTCCTGGACTTCTTTTTCCTGTGAGATCGATGGCTTGGGCTGCGGGACCTTGACTTGTGTCTTCTTGATCTACTTCTAGATCTCTCCCTTCTGTGAGATCTCTCCCGGTCTCTGTCTCTAGGCTTCTCAGATCGACTTCTGGACTCCCTCTCTCTGTCTCGATCTCTCTCTTTGTGAGGGCTATTATCACGTCTGCTACTAGGTGACCGCATAGCAGGTGGTGGACCCATATGCATAGGTGGAGGACCCATCGGGGGTGGGCCAGTCAAGGTTTTCAAATCGGTAGGAACCCACCCAGGAGGAGGTTCAGTCCCTTGATAATAAATTATTATATATAAAATGAATCAAAAATAAAAGGCAGCTCAAAATGTAAAAAGTCACACTAATGAATCACTGAGAGTCCAATGAACCTTTTTCCTGAAGTACGAAAAATCACTCACTAGCAGCGCTAGTAGTCCGGTAGGGACAAACACTGTCTAATCCTCATATAAACATATGGTAAAGTACAATTAAAAAAGAATGTTTTTACTGGATGTTCCTGGAGCAAAACTAAAATTTGCAACTGTGAAGGATAACAATGTTGTAACATTAAAATGTTGGCTTACATGCCGTAATTTAAGAATAACTGAAAAAAAAGTGAATTAATAGACAGGTTAGTATACAGACTCTAGTAAAAGAGTAGTGGTAGATTCAAAGTGTAATAAATAAAATTAAAAATAATTATGAATTTCAGATTCATTTCCTAGTGAAATATGAATCAAATCTAGGTGGTAATGAAATAAATTCAATTAATTACTATTGAGGTATATAACCTCAATAGTTTATTAAATCATATTCGTTTAATCATTCTAATCAACGGTAATTAACTATGAAAAATTTACTATTCATTTCATGTTTAGAGCATACATATGAATATTTATTTATTTGTTGCACTGTTAAATCCACTCTCTTCGAAGCATGTATCCATTTCTTACATCTAACCTCAATAATATGAGGTTTTATAAATGGTATAAAAAACACGTTTTCTTCCGGATATCAATGTACGATGTACTATTCACAGGAAAAAGGCTCATTGAAATAATACTTTTTGAAATGGACTCTTCATTACAGGTAAACCAATACAAGTAAACCAGGTAAACCAATAATGAAATTATTCCAAAAATAAAACGGTTGAAAAGAAGCAGATATTCAAGTTTTGAGTTAGCCAACAAAATAGTAAGTAAATGTCAATTGAAATAATTCAATTTCATGGCCAAAACAAAACTATTGAATTATCACATTTCTGAATCAAACAAAAATGTTAAAAACTATTTTCAAACTCACCCCATTGTGAATCTTGAGTAGGTTCATAACCCCCATAGAATGGTTCTGGTTCTGGATTAAATCCATACTCCGGTTGGAAGTTTTCAAAGGTAGCAGGCGGTGGAACTGTCATATCAGGAAAGCCAGCTGGTTTTCTGCTGTACTCTCTTCTGTCTGCTGTCATAACCTGTTTAAAAAATGATATAAATATGACAAGTGATCTCACAAACAAAATTTGCCCTTGGAATGTGTAAGATCGGGTATAATTAATTCAAATTATATTTCAAATATCTGATAACATGGTATTTCTGTCAAATTTCAGTTTCGAATTATATCAATAAATGTAATCAAATAATGATTGAAATGACATTAATTATTTCGAATCATTTCAAAAAAATGTGGAATAAGAAAACTTGAAACTTAAAATTCTTGTTCCTGCTTAAAACACCCAAAAAACCTGAATGCCAGCACTTGATTCTTTGTCCTCCCTTTCTTCTGGTTCCTCATATCCCACGATGTTGGTGATGTGTCATTGGGAAGTATAATAGGTCGTAGAATGCTCAGCAATTCATGTTCAATTTCAGCATTCAGTAGATATTAGCATGATCAAAAACAGCAAGACTTTGTTTCGAACTTGAGGTAGTAACTTGCTCCAAATATTAAAAACTCTGTTTTTGAAATGAGACAATTATATCAGATAATGCCCCAAATAGCATTCAAATAGTTCACTTGTGTATTACAGATAAGTAAAAATGCATTATCTTGAACAACCCTAGCATTTGAAATAGAAAGTTATATGAATCGAATGGTAGAGTTGAAAGCAAAGTTCAAAATTTTCAAAATCAGGTTGTTGAATCAAGTCATACACAACCCAAGGTAGGTAAGACCTAGTTAAATCTTATCTCGTAGAAGTTTCAATTTATGAGATAGGATAGCTGCTCAAAGTCAAAAAACTATTTTTAACTTGTTAGTGATTAGGGCACATTTAATTAATAATTACATTCACCCCTTCCTCTCGAATATTGTGATTAATTACGAATTACATGATCATAATTGTAAAGAACCTTTTCAACATTTCTGTTTATTCCATATTAAGTTTTCATCTATGTATATACCCTGAAATTTTAAAATACTCAGAATAAAACTTACATGACTTACAAAAAAGTAACCTTCCCCCTATGACAGAATACAAGGATATTTGCTTGTCTCTGTCCAGATCAACTGTTCATTTGCAAGTCTATTGAGGTAAATATTCATTGAAACAGTTACTGGTAAAATAATAACTTCTTTTCATAATGGTTTGCTACAGTCGCTGTCAAGATCAACTGTTTAATTTTATAGCTAATATCATACTGAACACTAAAATAACTGAATGGCTATGAACTTTGGCAAAGAAGTATACAAACCTGTATGGTGTTCACTTTAGGTACTTGATCAACCTTCATAATGGGTGGCGGCATGGTCCTCTGAACTGCTCCTATAACATCAATACCACCTGTGAATTTCCTGCAAGGAGGAGGACCTGCTTTACCCATACCTATGAAACTTCCGGCGTACTTGCTGTTGTCATTCATAATGGGAATTGGTCCTCGTGCTAACCCTATGTTGTTCATTGGAATAAGTCCGACACCTGACTCATTGACTCTCATTCTGCAAAACAAGTTTTGATAAAATAGTTGATAGGTATTCAATTATTGATGTTCAACCTTTTTTGACGCTCGCAATAAGCCCTCCAGGTATCCTCATTAAAGCCATAATTGAAATAGTCCGTAATATCAGCACCAGGTTTTCGCCAAGGTTTGTCTTCCAATGAGTCAACATTGAATTCCATGGCTGGGACTCCATTGATGGTTCCAATCTGTTCGAACTCCTCCACAACAAATTTGCCTGGTTGTTGCTGTGGAGCTTGTTTGTTTTTATCTCCCACGGAAGTGAGAAGACCTCCTCTTTTGATATTCAGAGAAGTGTAAGAAGGGGCAGTTGGTTTTATATCACCGATTACTACATTTACATCATCGTCACTATCGTCATCCAAATCCTCTTTTTCACTGTCTCCATTTTGCTGAACTTCTCCATCCTCGATGCCGTCATGAGTTTCCAGTCCATTCTCCTTCTCGTCAATATCAACCCCTGGAGGACCATCGTCCTCGACAGCCTACAAGAGAAAAGATTCTTTATAGGTTATGTTATTTTCTTACCGCCATATTACCTGTAGTGTTGGTTCAGGTTGCTCCTCTGAGGGTTTTGAAGGAACCTCTCCTTCCTCAGTTTTTTCTTCATTTTCGGTATTAGTTGGTGGTTCACCTGAATTTACATCGGATGATTCAGGATTATCGCCATATAACCATTGATCATCCTCCAAATCATCTGCCATTATTGTTTAGAAGACTAATTTTTTATTTTTGACAGTGCTGAAAGTTGACAAGTTGACAATAACTTCTCTCTGTCACAGGATCACAGCATAGTTAACTTATGCTCTGTCGCTATCTCTTCTTCTCTAATTTCTAACACTTTGCTTCTCATTCAAGCGCATTCGGCCAGGCTCCTCCATTATGAACAGTTGTGATGGAATCATTCGAATTGAAAATAATCGGTCGAGATGTCAAATGGAATCATTCATATCATTCGAATGTTGAATGTAACGAATTAAATTAGTAGTGAGTGAAATAGTCGAAAACAGTATTAAAGTCTTGCGCCCCTACGCACCAGTGCAATGCCGACACTTGTTTGTAGGATGTGATGAAATACAGGTTTGGGCTGAGAATGTTCAGAAATTTGTTGACGATAAACTTTGAATACAAACTTTATTGAAATCTAATGGTGGCTTGTGGCTGGTTAAAATATATTGAAAACAAACAAAAAAGTCCTCACAAAAATGAAAATAAATTATATGTTGATTTAAATTAGTAAAATTATCAAAAAACTTGCAAATTCGACATTGAACTTGACCATTTCTATTTTGTCGAAATGTTCCCAAACAATAGATTTCTTAGCTGCAGGCCGCATTGTTCAAAGAGTGGAAAAAATAATGGAATATATATGAGTAATAACAGAAATTTTGTTGCAACGGCGTCGAATCCTCCAAACTGAAAAATAATTGTCAAACAATCCTAACTAAAATAATCCAGTAATAATGATCTCTTGATTCACACACCATAAATGTTATTCAAAATGCGTTTTACTACACGGTAGCTCCATCCGTGGGACTGGTCACCAGTCCAACTCATGGAGCTACCGATGAAGTTTCATGGTAAGATCATTGTTAATGAGTAACTCCATTTTGAGTTCAATCATGAATCATTTCGTGTAATTTGCTCTCAACTTGATGAATGGATTTGATGGTACTAACAGTGGTATTTCAATATCTCAGAATCCATAACTTCTGCAGACATAGGCATGATAGATTGCCTCAACTAATAGAAATTTAAAATTCATGAACTCGTGTTCTAAGTTCTAAGAACTGCTGAATAATTTTTAAAGGTTACTTTTAAATACTTGCCTGATCGTATTCATTCGAAATATGGTTTTTATCGTACAGAGAATACAAAACAACTTCTGAGTTGTGATTTTTATTATTGAAATGAAATGACACCTGATTATAAATAACAAATCAAGTAAGTTATAGTTCTGTGTTTACCGTCCAGCTTTGTTCACATAATATATAAACTTGAAACTTTTGTTGATCTACTTTGTAGACAGCTTCCTTTCTGACGCTCTTAGTTTTGAAGCACTATGAGTTCGTAACCCTTTTAACATTGATTTCGGTTTGTCCATTTTCAAGCACAGAACATAGATGTGCTTTGTAAATTGACCCTATTAAGTGATGCGACCTTATAGTTGCCAACTGCGGTAAAATAATGACATTTGACAATTTTACATTTGCTAATAAATAAATAACCTATCTTTCTGAGTTCCTTCTGCATTTTCATTTTTGGTAAATGAGAAACTGATTTCCAGAATATGGCCGAAAAGAGATTTCCAGTCGTCCTATATGAAATTGGGGCTCCAAAATGAAAAATCAGCTATGAAGAAATATAAGATGGTCTGTCCTTAAAATGAAAATGCAGAAGGAACTCAGAAAGATAGGCTATTCATTCATTAGCAAATGTCATTATTTTACCGCAGTTGGCAACCATGGGGTCGCATCACTTAATAAGGTCAATAAAGACTAATTATTATTATATGAGTTTGTATATTCTGTGGTACTTCAGTAGAGATTAAAATATTGATATTCAACATTTTCGTAAATATAGGTATTTTCTGGTGTTTAATCCTATTCGAGTATGTATTTAAAAACGATTCGTAGTCATTAATAATAAGATTCGCCACAATGGAATGATTCAATTTGTATCAATCTCAAATTCAATAATAAAAACAAACTCTTTCATTCTTTTTAAGATTATAAATCAACAATTAAAGCAAAATATGAATTATAGTTCAATACCACCTCCACAAGCCACATAAACAACAGTTCTTTTGTTATTTATTCATATAGAGGAAGATAGGTTAGGTGCATAAAATGTCATATGTCACAGAATGTCTCGGAACTCGGAACATAAGTTAACAGAACAGCACGCCTCTGAAATATGTCATCTTTGTTTGTCTTATACAGGTAACAGAGTCATTGTCCTTTATTAGCTATAACCGATGTTGCCAAATGATGAAATAGAAAGGAATCCCTTTAAATGTTGAATGCATTATTTCATTCTTCTTTTTTAAGTATTTAAATAATTTTTTAAAGAAGAAGGTTGAAATGATAAGTTTAAAATGTGTTGTTTTAGAGCTCTTTCATGAAAACTACTTGATTTTCGTCAGGAGAATCGGATTTGGGCATACAGATTTGTTTTGTACATCCTCACAACGTATTTGATAAAATGTTTTCAGCCCTCTATAAACTATAACGATCGAAAAAAAAGCAGTAACTAACAACTGACGTAACGTAAAAATTCCGTTTCAAGAGCAACCTCACGCTAGTATCATCATGAATATATTTCAAATCATAATTTATATGACGTCATTGTTTCCACACCAGAATGAATGTATCTTTACGCCTTATGTTGGCTACCATGAATGTCGGTAAAGTAGTTTGAGCGGATGCACAATTTGTTTTGACGTTGGTAACTTCCTTCTAGTCTTTTAGTTGTTTCATCCAGAATGGGTAAGTACTCATGAGGTTAAATAAGTTAAATCTTGGATCATCACTAAAAGTAAGAAAGTTTTTTAGATAAATTGTGATCAAAGATTAATCATTTTAAGTAGTGAGCAAACAAGTATTTTTTATTTTTATATTTTTCCAAAGAATTTTTTGACTTACAGGCATAACCTGAAATTTTTAGAATCCAAACATGATGATAACTTTGTTAATATAAAGTGTCTGATGTGGTGTGCTGATGACCCAAACATCCCACAGCGATCTGATTATATGTTTTATCGATATATCTTGAACCTTCCTTTTTTTACAATCGTGTTGACTTTCTCTTAACATATTTTAGGTATCAGCCGAGATCACTGGCATAAACGAAGATCAACCGGAGGCAAAAGGAAGCCTCTGCGTAAGAAGAGGAAGTTTGAATTAGGTCGCCCCGCAGCTAGTACTAAACTAGGACCTCGCAGGATCCACTATGTTCGTACCAGAGGTGGTAATTTGAAATATAGGGCTCTAAGGCTCGACACTGGAAATTTTGCCTGGGGTAGTGAAGGAACTGCGAGAAAAACCCGTATTATTGATGTTGTCTACAATGCTAGCAACAATGAGTTGGTGCGTACCAAAACATTAGTGAAGAATGCAATAGTTGTTGTAGATGCCACTCCATTCAGAATGTGGTATGAGAATCATTACATCCTGCCTTTGGGTCGCAAGAAGGGAGCCAAACTGGTGAGTACCTCGTTTTGTATGACTAATGATTTTTGTTCTTGCTATTGACTCTTCAGTGTGTATTTAAATTGTGGCAGTGTTGTTTCAGTCCACTAACGGTAATATCAGTTGATACAGATAACTATTGGAACTTAGTTGGGTGAATTTTTGTTTTAAGGGCACCTGGCAATTTTGAAAAATTTTTTCAATGTACTTACGTATTTTGATGCCTAGATTACGAATCCAAAAGAAAAAAGCGGCGCTCTCCCTTATTTACAAAGTTAATGCCCTTCAAAGTTCAGAAAAGGGCTACTTTTCAGCCTTCTTTTTCTCAAAATAAACTATTTAAACACCAACATTAATTCACTAGGTCACCTTTACACCTTATTCCTCCTTCTTTGACACTTTTCACTTCAATAATCAACATTTTTCTTGTAAAAAACTTATTTTAAAAACGATAGCTTCTCCTGGTGACATTCTTCTATTTCTAGCTTAGTTACTAGTGACATTTCAGAAATAAGCGGTTGGTATTTGCCGCCGCCTACAATTGCTAATTCTTAATACACCACCAAAAATTAATTTACTATCAAAAGAATGAAGGTGAACAACATTTGAATTACTTTAAGAATATTGACTGCATCAGTTGTACTAACCATGCCATTAACCTTAAAAATGTCAAATACAGAGATATGTAACCGAAAAGCAACTCAGTACATTTTTTAATACTTTCATTGGAAAGATGTTGATTATTGATGTGAAAAGTATCAAAGAAGGAGAAATAAGGTGTAAAGGTCACCTAGTGGATGAATGCTGTGATTTTAAATAGTTTATTTTGTGAAATAGAAGGCTGAAAAGTCGCCCTTTTCATCACTTTGAAGGGCCGTAACTTTGTAAATAAGGGGGAGCGCCGCTTTTTTCTTTTGGATTGGTAATCTAATAATCAAAATCGCCGGGTGCCCTCAAAACGAAAATTTACCCTTAGTTGAAGTGTTCGCAGACGAAAAAGAGAGTCTGCATTAACTAAATGAATATTTAAATACATTTCGAAAACTGATGTGATCAAAGCACACTTGTGATTTTCATAAGTAAAATGTATGTTACTTTACATTTGCATTAGAAAACCAGCTCAATGAGAATTGCAATATATCTCTTAGGTTTTAAAATGTATATATAACATCCATCTGCATGTTCATATATTTTACAACTCTTATCTTGGAAAGTTTATCGCTTAGGTAAATCTGTCTGACGTGTTGAGGCTAGCCAGATGGTAAAACATAGTCCTGCAAACCGTTTTCATATATTGTTCTGGTTAATTGTGCTTCCCTTAATGAAAATGATTTATTTTACCTATTCATTAGTTTCTCAGTCTATAATACCAATACCATTGTTAAAAATTCGCAATTAAACATCTCGAAACATAAAAATAAACATAACCTATGCTCAATATTTCCTATTAACATTCAGTTTTTCAAATCAGCTGTTTATCTTTTGAGGATCCCTATAATCTGTAGAAATTCTTCACAAAAAGGGCTCTCTCATTTAGGAACGTATGGTACTACCGATAGAATATCAAGAGATAACTAGTGAAGGAGTATAATCAATTATATTTATTGTCTTTATCGAGTACAGCTGCCAGAGTGAGACATAGCTGGTGAAAAGCCCCTCCCTCAAGATGTGCAGTAGATGTGTAGAAGTCTGTTATCAGTCTCTTAGATTATTAATCCGTACTACGTAAAATTACAAACAAAAGTTTCTATTTCTTTTTTCTTAATACGTTTTTTATCATACACCGACCCCAACTTTATGTACCTAGATACGATTTCTCGTATCCGGCCATGACTCGGTCTGGTAGCTGTAGAGTTAAGTATTTTATGTCTTGAGGAAAGGACCTGGGTGTTGCGGTTTTGTAAATTTTCAACAGGAAATCTCACATTAAAGTGTGTTTTTGAATACGGTACTCCTGTAGTCGATGGATCAGATCCTGATATTTTCTGTTATAGTTCTTGTTCAGTGACGAGTTGTGATTTATGTTCCATTGAGTCTAACAATTTCAAAATTTGGTAGAACTGGCAGTGTAAGTGTGATACGAGGGCACCAATAGTTTTACAGTGGCAAGTTATATTTGTCAGCATAGGAATGCAATTATTAAGATTATTGGGCAGTATGAATCAGTGAATGGTATGACCAAAATGAGTTAACTCAGAACATAGTAAACTATTCAAGTCATAACCTACATTTCACATTCATTTGTAAGGGAGAAGCTGTTTATCATTTGATGTTACCGCTCGTCTAATACACTATTCCCATAATCAATAGTAGAAATTTTTTCATGCACTTCCATAAATTAGTATAAAGTTTATAATGATGTTTTTCATGCGTGTCATCTGAATCTTATGATTAAGAACCTTTAGGGCTATTACTGAATATACCTGCAGATCATTGTGCTTATTATTGCAGTTTTCATGTTCCTAACCGAGTATATGTTTTCAGACTGCCGAAGAAGAGGCTCTTTTAGCGAAGAAACGTAGTAAGAAAGTACAAAAGAAGTACGAAACTCGTCAGAAGACTTCTAAAGTAGAACCTGCTATCGAAGAGCAATTCACAACTGGAAGGTTGTTGGGTAAGGGTTTTTTCCTATTGAGTTTGATGTTTTTATCACTATTGCTTTTTGTTTGAATGAAGTAATTTGGCCTTCATTCAACTTTCATTTTGATTAGTTTTCTTACAACAAATCAGTTATATTTTAGAAGTTTGAAATTTGTTACTAATTAGTAATAAAAGGGTCTGAAAGTATATATTTTAACATATAGATTGGTCTTTAGAAAATGGCACTGGTTTTTTTTTAGTATTCCGTTTTATTATCAAAACAATTTGATTCAAATTGTAGAAGATACAATGTACAACTAATAGTAACATTACACTATTCAACTAACGAAAGGCCTGGAGGTTTCTTTGCTCTCAGACAACAGTTCTAAAATTCTTAAGTATGTAACACTGGCGCTTCTATTATGAGGTGTAGATATTTTAATTGTTAGTACTTCCCTTACACAACACGAGTTGCCTTTATTAGCTTCTAAATGAACTTAATAAAATACAATTCCGTCAGTATAATGATGCTTCATCTCAAAATGAGCATAAGTTACGCTAAATGCACACACACCGATTTTGGACGGCCAGTATAAAATCTGCCGATATTTTATTGGTAGCGGGTGCTTGCACACTCACCGGATTTTTATCGGTCAATCAGTTGCTTTGTTGTTGTAATTAGCACGCACTACCAAAACGAAGTTAATGCGTAGTAACTACAATTTCACCGAGAATTCGAGACTGGAATGGTCGGTAAAAAACCGGTGAGTATGCAAGAGCGTATTTAGTTATGTACGCCACTACTTCCCGGTACTGCCAGCGATACAGTGGCAGTGAACGGCTGCTCACCGGTATTTTACCGGCGACGATCACCGGTCGGCGTGTGTGCCAGGTCCCGTTCCCACATGTGGTTCACTATTGGAATTTGGACGACCGGTACAAAATCGGCCGATATTTTATTGGTAGCGGGTGCTTGCACACTCGCCGGATTTTTATCGGTCAAACAATCGGTTGCTTTGTTGTCGTAATTAGCACGCCTACCAAAACGAAGTTAATGCGTAGTAACTACAATTTCACCGAGCATTCGAGACTGGAATGGTCGGTAAAAAACCGGTGAGTATTCAAGAGTGTATTTAGTCATGTACGCCACTACTTCCCACTGCCGGCAGTGGACGGCTGCTCACCGGTATTTTACCGGCGACAATCACCGGTCGGCATGTGTGTCAGGTCCCGTTCCCACATGTGGTTCACTATTGGAATTTGGACGGCCGACTTTGTACTGGTCACACACCAAAATCGGTGTGTGTGCAACTAGCGTTACAACTCGTACTGTGATGGTTTTGAACGGTAGCCGGTTACGTTGACATGGGTGGTTCGCTCCACTCAATCGGCCACTGTGTGAACCGGTGGTTCAAGACGCGAGGCCGGATGATGGATTTCGACTTCCTATCGTCCTACATGTACTAGGAATTACATGTTAGAAGGTAAGACCTCGTTAGTCATTCAACAATTCTGGCCGAATTTCATGCAACGGTTTTTTCAACAATTTTGGAATAGACTTCGCTGCCACACGCTTTATGCTCAAAATTTCCGAAAAAATTCATGGCCTGAGCCAACCACACCTATTAAAGAAAAACAAACCATAGAAACCGAATCATAAAACATAAATGTCATTCCATATGCTGATGACCCTGATGATGATTATTTGGAAGAAGGTGTGTTGGTATTGTTTCGTACGCCAAAGAGAACATGAATGAGTGAACAAAGCACGTGAGTGCTTTGTTCACTTATTCAATCGACCACTGTGTGGGTCGTTGGTCCAATCCCTAGGCTGAACGATCGATTTTTACTCGTTATCGTTCAACTTGTGTTAGAAATCACACGTTAAAAGGTAAGACCTCGTTAGTCCTTAGCTCGCACATGGTTTCGACTTCTGAGGGTTGTAGTTCGTAGAGATATGCTCACCAGATATGTGTTGAATTGACCGATCAAGATGATAAATGTTAATTCATGATTGAAAATTGAAACTAATGAAACTGACTGTGATTCAATATGTGCCATTAGAATATTATTGACCCCTTCGGTTTAGATAGAAACGTTTTCTAATATGCCATCTGTTTTTTGTTGATAATTTTTATTTAGAAAGTTCCCTGAAAACTGTTTTCATAGTACTTGAATTAAATGATAATTGATAAGAAATAAGCATAGTCAACGTTTGATTATCATAACTATTTTCACTATTTATGTTATACAAATAGATATGGTTAGATCTTCCTATCAATTTGGTCTACTCTTGCGTTGGGGAGATTTGAACCCAGATTTATTTTTAAATTAAGGTAAATATAATTGAAATTATTTGATTAGCGAAAACGTTTATAGTTCAAAATGGTACCTGCATACTTATGCTTTGTATACATTTTTGAGCTATTAAAATACAGACTTCATTAACAATGTTATGCGGATTAAAAAGTACTCTCTCTCTCCCTACGAAACTTCAAAGTTACCGCTCTTTCAACATGGCAACGCGGTTATCACATGATGAAAAGGCTTATGAACGTTCACGAGATATGTAAGCTCACATCTCTTCGTCGTAGTGAGTTTCTAATAAAAAAACTTGTCAAATAAATGTCAAAGTCACACATGAATTCCAGCCATGAAATTATTTCTCCTGATTACAAGAAAATTTTCATTTCTTTTTGATATTCAAATCACATGGTTACGTTAACACTAACTTGCTTCACAATTATGCTGAGGCCAATTAAGTATGATTAAAAACCACAGTAGCATGTTTTCAAACCAAGCACATTTAATTTAATCAAAAGAAAATCATCTGTTGCATTGTCAAAAAGTCGTTTTGACAATCTCAAAAAACACTAATAAATTCGTTCCTGTCAAGTTTTCCATAAATATTATTGAGAAAAAGTAGCTAGCTGTTTGATGGAATTAATTTTTCCTAAATTCCTAGTGGCAGGTTGACAGCAAAGCAGAGATATTTTTCTATATTTCTTCTAGGCTTCACTGGAAAAAACATTTATTTTTTATTACCAACATCGAATTCTAAGTCTACATTATAAACGGAAGAACTTCCTTCAAACACCAATAATGTTGTATCAGATTGACTTTGTTTGGTTTTAATTGGCCATCATCCTCGTATAAGTAGAAAATATTTTGCTAGTATTGATTGAATGAAAAATATTACTACTCACAACTATAATAGAGGGTTACCTCAATTTTATGATGTCTTCATAAGAGAAATAAATTATTCTATGATGTTAAAACTTAGCGAGTTCACATTTCAAAGCCTGTTTTCGTTTTGAATATGGCTTGTGGACAATGATTAGCTAGTCATAGTTACTCTGAGATTACTATCAATCAAACTAAATAACTTTCATTGATTTCTTTTTTTTACTGATGTTATTTTATTAATTTGCAGCTTGCTTGGCGTCTCGACCAGGACAGTGTGGAAGGGCAGATGGCTACATTTTAGAAGGAAAAGAATTAGAGTTCTACATCAGGAAAATTAAATCTAAGAAAGCAAAGTAAATTGTTATGAGGTGACAATAAAAGGTTGACGTCTATATTTTGTTGTTTTTATTTAACAATCTTGAAGCTAGATATTTTTGAACAGCTAAAAAATCAGATACTTAGGTGAAATTTAAAAGTATGTAACACTGTAGCTTCTAGTATGAGGTGTAGATATTTTAATTGTTAGTACTTCCCGTACACAAATTGAGTCTTGTTATATACTCTAATATAAATAGAACACAATCCAATGTTGTGTTTAAAAAAATCTGTTTTTCCGTTAATCCAATGTTCTGTAGTATTATAATCCGTTCATAATTTGTTGATAGCTCACTGCAAGTTTGACCCTCATTAGAGAACTGAAATACAGAGAGGACAGCTAATATGATATAATAACAAAAACCAAACTAAAACTGGCAGTTTAAGATGTTTTCGACTAAGCCACCTTGTATCTGAAGAAATACAATACAGCTATAAAACTTTTAATCCGATTATGTAGGTATTTTGAGTGGAAATGAGTGACCAGTGTCGTAGAGTATATGATTAAAACATTAGTTACTTTAAATNTGTAGGAATATGAAAAAAAGTTACTCACGCACTGCACAAAATTCGCAAAATAAATATTAGAGACGTTAATTACTGCCGTAGACGCCGAAACACCAACGAGCCGTAAATTAAATGCGATTAAAAAATGTACTAAACCAAAAATTATTTTCGTTCGTAACAACTTCACCCTTTCAAGGCAAGTTTCGAATATATACTGAAGCTTTATATTTAATGAATAAACACCTCAGGAACCTCCGCCTATGATTTTACGACCGTTTTATGACTTGGGCCCTCATTTTGTGCTATCGACAAATTATGAACGGACTATAAATTGAATTAATATGGTTCTAACACGAGTTGCCTTTGTTAGCTTCTAAATGAACTTAAAATACAATTCCATCAGTATAATGATGCTTCATCCCAAAATGAGCATAACTTCCAACTCGTACTGTGAAGGTTTTGAACAGTAGCCGGTTACGTTGACATGGGTGGTTTGCTCCACTCAATCGGCCACTGTGTGAACCGGTGGTTCAAGAAGCAATTCCGGATGATGGATTTTCACTTCCTATCGTCTTACCTGTACTAGGAATCACAGCTAGAAGGTAAGACCTCGTTAGTCCTTAGGTTTTGAAAGTTGTCTTTCATAGGGGAGCGACATCTGCTTAATGGAACAACAGATTATGCAGAAAAACTGATGAACCATACAAACAAGTCAAAATTTTCCACATATACTTTAATTACCAGAACACTGGTTGAAGGAAGGTGAACCAAAAAAAATATGTCAGTATACCCTGTCTGTTCAAAACATGAGGTGAATTTTAATTTTTACCAAATATTTATTCAATTTCTATGTTCTCCACGTCAAAGTAGTCCCCTCAGATATACACTTGTGCCAGCGTTTTTCCAATCTTCGAAGCAGTACTAAAAATGCAGTTTTTGGTTTGTCTTCGAGCTCTCAGAGATTCGGTTTTTATCTCCTCAATCGTCGCAAAACGCTGTCCTTTCCTGTGTCCCTTCAATCTTGGAAACAGGAAAAAGTCGCAGTAGGGGGACAAATCTTATGAATGGAGTAGCTGAGGCATGATTACAGTGTTCTTGCGGTAAAAAAATCGAGAACGAGTGAGCAGGTGCATAATATACCGGACGTTTTCTTCGTATTGCTTCTCGCAAGCGGCGCATAAATTCAATATGATACTCCTTATTGACAAAACCTCCTTATGTACTAAGCCGCGGTAATCGAAGAAAACAGTGAGAAAAACCTTGACATTTGGTTGAACTTACCGTGCTTTTTTTGGTCTTGGCTCTCCTCGGCTCTTCCATTGGGACGTCACCAGTTAATCTTTCAAGCAAATCTGGATTGCCGTTGAAGTCATTCAACAATTCTGGGCGAATCTCATGCCACGGTTTTTTTGGTCATAATTCAACAATTTTGGAATAAACTTCGCTGCCACACGCTTCATGCCCAAAATTTCCGAAAAAATTCATGGCCTGAGCCAACCACACCTATTAAAGAAAAACAAACCATAGAAACCGAATCATACAACATAAATGTCATTCCGTATGCTGATGACCCTGATGATGATTATTTGGAAGAAGGTGTAGATATAGATAATCGTTGGTATTGTTTCGTACGCCAAAGTGAACAAATGTCAAGCATAAGGTCGGTTCGACGTGAGTGCTTTGTTCACTCATTAATTTCAATCGACCACTGTGTGAGTCGGTGGTCCAAGCCGTAGGCTGAACGATCGATTTTCACTCGTTATCGTTCAAGTTGTGTTAGGAATCACACGTTAAAAGGTAAGACCTCGTTAGTCCTTAGCTCGCACAAGGTTTCGACTTCTGAGGGTTGTCGTTCGTAGGGGTACGACAGCTGGTTAACGAAAAAACATTTTAAACATAAACATACTTTCAAACTGTTTTTCATGCCAGAGATATGCGCACCAGATATGTGTTGAATTGACCGATCAAGATGATAAATGTTAATTCATGAAAAAATGGTACCTGCATACTTATGCTTTGTATACATTTTTGAGCTATTAAAATACAGACTTCATTAACAATGTTATGCGGCTTAAAAAGTACTTAAGGGGTTCAACTCTCCCAGACTTTCCCTACGAAACTTCAAAGTTACCGCTCTTTCAACATGGCAACGCGGTTATCACATGATGAAAAGGCTTATGAACGTTCACAAGATATGTAAGCTCACATTTCTTCGTCGTAGTGAGTTTCTAATAAAAAAACTTGTCAAATAAATGTCAAAGTCACACATGAATTCCAGCCATGAAATTATTTCTCCTGATTACAACAATGCTCACGAATATAATTACTATGATATTTTTAACGTACAATTTAGCAGAGCCGCTGATCCTCAATTTTTTGATAATGGGTTTACAACTACTTTTCTTAGGATTATTTTTGGTGAGTATAATTCATTCATACCCATCGTATAATCAAAAATACATATTTGGAGGTGTTTCATTGAACCTCGAATCGTAAATAACTAGGAGGAATAATTATTGAGACAAAATTGTTGACTCTACAATAGTTATTTTTAATTTTATTTCATATTATTTTTTGGAACGTTCGAAAATGATGTAGATGCATTGTGAAATTGCTAGAAATAATTTAACGTTGCCTTTGACAGAAATTATATTTACTGCTCATCTACATTCGTTTCAAATGCGTTAATTTCAAAATGTAAATAACAAAAAAATTCAGTAAAGAATTCATCGAAATTTTTCAGTACTTATATCGCGAATAGGATTTATACTTATACAACTAGGAAGTATACCAGTGGAAAATGTCTACAGAATAATATTCTACAACTTCTTTGAAATAGCCAATGTTATTCTGTCATATATTCTGATTGGATTTGTTTTTTCATTCGGAAGACTGAGCCTTAAGGGATGGATAGGTTATTCAAGCAGTTTTTCGAATAGTTTGGATGAGGCCGGTGTTGGTGAGTACTTCAATGAAACCTAATGTATTTTATATTTTCAGTGAGCAATCTAAAAAATCTATTTTTCTGTGGTCATTACATATTATATTGATGTAATAATAATTCAAAGTTTCATATCAGAAACCTGTAATTTTACTTGCAATTTACACTAGACCAAAACTTCTTGTAATCGTTGGTTTCAAAATGAATCTTTCCATCAGTCATTCAAAACTATTTTTCAGGTATTTCAGCTTGCTTGATTGGAACCGCGCAAATATCAAGTTTTCTGGTAGGACGAATCCACCTGATGGCTTCTATCATAACAACTTTTTTATATTGTGCTTTCTACGAACCTTTACTTCTGCACTGGATCTGGAACGAAAATGGATGGATGAATAAGTGGGTCCTGTTGGGAAAAAGGGTCTCGTTGAAAGATCACGCTGGCGATTTGGTTGTTCATTTGTCTAGCAGTATAATTGGATTGATAGGTACGAAATGTGACTATTATAATAGAAACTTGGTAAAATCGAATTGTCATGTTCAACTAGGGATTATTTTTCAAATGACAAACATTATTCAATAAACACTTTCCGTACTGGTCTATTGCACCAAGGGAAGCAAAGACCATACAAAATGAAAAGAAGAAGAACTTTTCGAAATACGGTTTTTTATGAATATCTAACAACACTAATTCATTTTTGATTGAGTCAACAAATTGAACAAAATTAAGTAATAATTTCTGCGATGCACTTAAAATATTTGAAAGAACAATATCACTATTTAACGAACATTTCACTGGAATAAATTTTTAAATAGCATTCTTCCTTGTTCAAGACACATTCCACAGTCCGATAAAAAGCGTCCCCCAAAAAAATTTCGAAAAATCCAAGCCAAGGAACTTTGAAAAACCCTAAAAACCCCAACTCCAAAAATTTCTGAAGGGACGGGGGGAAACCGCAAAAAGCCAAAAAATACAACGAAAAACGGAAAAACCCCGTAAATCTTAGCTCGCACGAGTTTTGGTTTCTGAGAGTTGTCGTGAGGAAGGAAGATTTCTGGCTAACGGAAAACGTATCGACAGTTTTTTAACAGTAGACCCTTTCTTTAACAACTCCCCCAACCCGACTTGCGCTTCGCTATTGTTCTAGATGTCGCGTTGCTTCGATAGATCTCTAGCGACTTTCCTCTCGGCTTCGAGACACTTCGATTACCATATATAAATACTACCCACATGCATACTAAAGAAGTCTAGTTGACAGGGCGGTACGAAGTGATCTGATAAGACGGTGGACATTTGAATACTGGCTTGAAGTTTCAGTTAAAGTCTTTGGTTGTATTATCAATGTAGTAGTGGAATAAATTCAAGTTCAATTATACAGTGTAGTCAATTATTGATAAACCCACGGGAAAAACGTAACAGTATATTTTTATTTTAAATGCTTTCGCACATAAATTAGTACCATTAGATTCCACAAAAAAATCATTTTGTAGTGTTTTCACAGAATAATCAATAAAATGCTGACAAATTTAATGAAATCAACCCAAAATCGTAGCATGAGCCTGGGTTTTTACTATTGCTACGTTTTTCCCCGTGGGTTGACCAATAATTGACTACGACTATATTAAATAATCAAACTTAGCTTCATTTCACTTTAAATACAACAAACACTTCAACTATTATTTGAATTTCTATCGCCTTACTGGATCACTTCGCGTACCGCACTGTAACTTCTACTTGACTGTGTCGATATGCTCGTGGCTAGTGTTTATATATCGTTATCGAACGCAGTAGAAATTTCGCCAAAGTTCCATCGAAATCGGTATCATTATTCCCGCTGCTTCTAGAGCGGCAAGAAACATCGTATATTCGCGCGCTCTTAGCTACGTCACGATTGGTTTTTGGCTACCAGTAGCGGCCGACGTTATTTTCTTTATGGCGTGATTTACGACACTATTTACTATTGTTTTCGATTTTTCCATACTTATCTTGGACACAGTATATAGTGACTCCCTCTCTTTTTGCAGGAGCTTTGTTTCTGGGCAGGAGATTAATTAAACTGAAAGATATCGATGAACATTCTTTGGGACGAGAACATTCCGGAAACACGATCGTCGGCTATGTTTTCATTATTTTTGGTTACATTGCATTTAGTTTACCCACCCCATCGTACTTGTCATTGAGAGTACCTTTCAACTACACCGGAATGATCGTTATAAACAATATTGTTGCTCTAGCTGTGGGTAAGTCTTCATTTTTTTTTCTATGCTAGTGTGTTATCTAAGCTATAATATTAGATTTTGATATGGTGATATGACACACAAAAGAAGTTCAAAGTGTCCAAAGAAAAATTTTGAAATGTTTATACTTCAATACCTTCGAACGTTTACTCCAGAGTACTTACTCTTTTATGAATAATTTAGTATACGAGGTCTGTTGAAAAAATATGGTGACTGTTCAAATTTCGCGGGCTACATACTTTCGATTATCAATTTTTTATTTTGTTATTTTGGAAAGATATAAGTGCGACGTAGTCGAGGATAGATGAGTATCGGAAAGATTCAATTGGAAGATAATAACGTTATTAAAATAATGGTATGATAATAATGATGACTGAAAAATCGGACTAAAGAAAAAATATGGCGGCGGGCATCGAGTGGAGTACACAGGGTGTGTGCAGCGTTGAATAAAAAAATAGGGGCGGGCATTGAGTGGAATATACGGGGTGTGTGCAGCGTTAAAGAAAAAACATAGCGCTGCTAACGTAAAATTAAAAAACATTGCCTTAAATGTGTGTACAAGGTGTGGAAAAATACATAATTTGAGAAAAAGCATGACAGTTTAACCAATTCAAAATTGTCAGAGAGTAACCTGTTGTAGAGTTAACGTTAGAAAATGGGTGGCAATGAGGAAGCAGAGTATTCAGCAATGACATTTCAAAATACGTTGTTTTACATGCGTTTCGACCGTTTTCCGTGCGTTTATTCGTTTTTCGTTTTCGTGTTTGAATGCGTGTTATTTGTCAAATGTTAGGTGAAAAATGCGAGGGGGTCAAAGAAAACACGCGGAAAGAGGAGGGGTAAGAAGTGATTTCAAAACGTTTTCGTGTATCGCTTTCGTAAAAGCGCAAAATTGTTTTCACTTCAACGAGACAGACCACCTATCTAAGCTCACTAGTCACGTGGTCACAGTGACCATCGGCGGCTGGAAATTTCATGGGAATTAAAATAAAAAAATTATCGGTTTGAGAACTGAACCAAGGAAAGTATACAGTGTGGATCATTCGAAGCGTAGCATCATTTGTCATTTATAGTGTTTTACTAACCAAGTTGGCATCATCAGGAGAGGACGAATAGACAGCCTGTCATTTGTAATTCATGATCTCTCGATGCGCGTTTGAAAAGCTCATCAAACATTTCATAAAAATATAATACGATAAAGCGTTCATTCCTGTCACGAAAACTCGCATACAAATTTCATGAAAATATAATGCGTTGAAACGATCATTTTGGACACTTCAACCGCATCGAAAAAAATGCATTTTTCGAACCGCATTTTTTCCAAAAACCCACATGAAGCACTATCTTCCTATCTAGAATGAGATCAGTCTACTCCATTTCCCGAAGACGCCAACTTGGTTATTGATTAAAAGCGAATCGAAAAGACTATTACAGTTCTGGTATTTGGTAGCGGTGCTTATTTTGGATGTATCAATGATTATAAATAACCACTGACATTTTTGAATGTTATTAAAATATAAAAATCGTCTATTCAATTACAGGAATCTTGATAATCAGCGTGCTGCACCTGCTCATCTTCAGAAAAATCTTTAGCTACTGGATAATACTCAGATGCATCCAGGGTGGTATTGCTGGAATAATCTCGGTGGCTGCAGGAGTGGATATATTTAGCCCATTCGAATGTCTCGCAATAGCTGCGGTATCTTCGTTTTTCTTTTTCTTCTTCTCTATACTAATACATAATACTGCCCTGGAGGATTACTGCAACCTAACGGCTTCCCATTTAGTCTGTTCATTTTTGGGAATCTTGGCATGTCCCCTTTTAGCCCATAAGGAAAATTTTGGCGTTTCTGCAAGAAAATTCCACATTTTGTGGCAGTTCATTTGTGTAATAATTGTGATATCTATCACAATTACATTTGCATGGCTCCTATTCCTTTTCTTTTCACTCACTAAGATTTTGAGGAGCAAAAGAGAGGCGATGAACCATCAAAGAGCCGTTGTGGTACAAAAATATTTGCCGAAGAGGGGATTTATGGAAAGACTTTTCATGATCGACAGTCAAACCCAACATATCGCTCCCGGAGACAAAAATAGACAAAGTTTTTTAGAACATGATGTTCTGAAGAAAGAAGTCCAACCAAAAATTGAACAAAAAAAAGAAAACATAAGAAATTTTGAAAGAACGACGTTTCGGAATGTTGTTATTGATCCTATCAAGAATTTTCCTTTAGAACCAAAAATTGACAACTTTGGTAATCAGAATGAGGACATCAGTATCAAACAAAATCAGTATAATATAAAACGTTCATATAAAATTCCCTTAGGTACCTTGAAAGAAAATTTAATTCAAGATGTTTCCTCTCCTTCCAACTGAGTTGACTTTGTGTTTTGTTTCTTAATTTATGGAATATTTATGCATTCATGTTGAATTGAAATAGTCTTTTGACCTCAAATATCGACGAGATACCTGGAAAAACTGAAATGACAATTAAACTTTGAAATGCTCTAAGTATTTTCCTTCAACCCAAAAATTGTGACATTATTGTGTTTATATTGAATCACACAGAACACTAACGATTGTATGATGTTTTCTGTGTTTCAAACCTTCCACCATCTGAAAAATTAAATATATGAATATAGATCAACAGAGAATCTGCTCTCAAGTGTAATAAAGAAAAAAGTAAATAATAATAATAATAAACGTCTTTATTACTGTAACCACAAAAAAAATCACAGTATTAAGTTCTAACTACATATAAAAAGTTATAGTGAAAGGCGAAATTCTATTTTCGCAGCTATGCAAGTAACTGCTAAAATGGTCTTCCAGTATAGCAGTTACTTCAGCAGAAACTTGTATTCATAAATTTCAGCAATGAATGAAACAAATCGGAAAATGTGAGAGATTCAAAGTCGGTTGAATTAAAAAAAAATTTCATTTCAACTGACCTTTTAAAATTTACATAATTCCGATTTGTTCCGGAGATACTCGCAAAGAACTGAAATTCGCTAATTTCGTTTCATTTCTTTTCTAACAATATTTATAAAGATATATTAAAAAACAAGTACCTACGTTCTTACTGCCACCGTATTTCACTTGACAAAACTGGAGGCATTTCGTTTTACATGGTTGGTTACCCTACTAAAAGCAACTATCCAAGGCCAGATACCAATTATCACATTTTCATTCTGACCCTGATGGAATACGTTACAGGTAATGAGTAATAGAATATGAATAAAGAAAATATCAGTCTGTCCTTCTTATTCTGAAGAGAGTAGAATACAAAATAAAACATACATTTATTTTCCATAATTCACCAGACATACTAGTTAATGATAGCTACCACCATACGAAAGATAATACATCTGGTCTGTTCAACAGAACACGCATACAAACAAAACAAATACGCACTAATACTACAATTCTCGAAGTTCTGCTCAGTTATGTTCACATTAACCTCCTTTTTCTTGTTTCATGAATATCAAATAAAAAAATTTCTTTCAGATAATGATTTCTGAATAAAAAAAACCAAATTGAAAATGATCATGACCAGCAACGAAACGTATTTTAATCGAATTCTCGCTTGAGTTATATTATTTGAGAAAGAAATAGGCACCCAAGATTTTCTCCATGAGAAAATATATATCACAGGATTCAAGAACTTCAAAATACTTATTTGATCAATGTAGACATACGAGTTTCTCTTTCAATTGGGTTTGGTAATCAAAAGTTTATCGACAGGCTATATAAGAAATACTATTTATTGATCATTCTTGATTTCTGAAAGTTTTATTTCCTATTTCCAGAATATCTAAAATTAGAAAATGAAAGCAAAAGTAAAGAAATTTAAGAACATATTTTGGAATGACTATTCGTATGAAAATGTCCTTGGGTTGGCAACACTGTTATAATAAGTGTGTATTGTATGTTTACTATTTACCTCGTCAAAATTGATGAATCAAAGTTAATTTTTACTTGTCAGTGGGAACTGCAAATTAATATTTATTTTTTTTAAAGCGTTTATGGCGGTTCTTATTTAGTTGGAATAGTTCTATTTTTTAAAACTGTATGATCACAATTTCCTAAGGTAACTTTCATAAAGGTAAGATGTTGATAATGATCATACTGTAACAACTTTTCAATTTTAATTTTTCAGAATACAAATGGATTATAGTGAAGACATCAATTCTGTTGATCTTACCGAAGATGAGGATAGTAGAGGCACCATAGTAAATTCTGAGGTCGATAACGTGGAACCATCTTTATCAGGGTGCTCTGAATTGTTTACTGGTGATAGTTTCTACCACAGAGTGTCTGCATATTCACCACCACCTCTAACACCTATCCCAAGACTCACCCCTGTAGGAAAACTACCAACTGATTACTTACCAACTGTTCCTAAGTTGACAAAAATTAGGAGACAAAGTAGTATATCCCAAAAATCGCCTCCAAAGAAAGGGGTAACTTTAATTTCTTCTACTCTTGTTAAGCCTGCTATTAATGGTTCTAGTATCATTATTGATTCAGATGATGAGGACGTACCAATTGTTCAGAGTGAAACTGAGAATTTCAAGTGCCAGAATACTACAGCTGCAATGCCAGGTGAAAATAGATCTGCAGCATCTTCCAAACAGCCGGGAAAATTAGTTGTTATAAAAAAAAATAATAAACTGTATAAAATAGTCATACCTCATAATGTAATGCCAACTACAAACCAGTTAGGTGGTCCTGTATTGATAAACATACCGGAAGTTGGCCCTTTAGTTATCAGAATTGATCCTAAATCAAAAAATCTTGTTACGCCTAACTCTTCCCAGCTAGAACCATTTTCTTTGAATTTTGATGATATTATGAATAAGGTCTCATCAGATTCTGTCAGTCATCAAAAAAATTTCAGCAGACATCCACCTAACATTAGTCGTGTGAAACCCAAAGGTTCTTGTATATTACCTACAAACAAATGGACACTTCTCTCAGATCCTAAGTTCTGTTGGTCATACACAAGAATTAAGCAAAGAGATCAGGATTTTTTCTTGAATACAGATAAGTTAGGATTTTCTACAACAGAGCTTCGTAAATCAAGAAGATGCCGGAGGATTTTAGATTCAGTTGTTGCCAAAAAAGAAGCAGAAGTGAAAAGAATGATGGACTCTTTTGAAAAATTGAAAGAGAGAGTAGATGAAAGTCATCTTTTCAAACCTGTAAAGATCAGTGAAATAGTTGGCCACTCGTCAGATTATAGAAAAATTGCAGAAACAGGATCTGTTGGACCACACAACATTGAAAATGTTAGATTACCTCCAAATACTCTTATCACTCATTTAACTGAATATGATGATTTGTTGATGACTCGTAAAATTGTAATATTGAACAAAGGCCATACAGAATCCTCCGAGTCTAATGCAAGTCAGTTGAAAAAGATTGCTAGAATGGAGAGAAACTTCAGATATAGACAGAAGAAAAAAAAACTTCAGTTAACAAAAATGTTGAGTTGTGTTTCCTCAAAAGATTATAAAAACTTAATAAAGCCTTGTTATGTTAAAATGACAAGAGAGGACTATATTGATCAAATGATTAACCCACAAAATACAGATAATAGTAATAAATCAATGCGAAAAGGGAAAAAACTGTCACCTAGGAGGTCGAATTCAAATTATATTCAACATGTTATTGATATATTTATGTCAAAACTAATTGATACAGAAGACAAGTTCAAGCGTGAAATGGCTTTTATAAAACCAGTCTTAGTAGTCAATGAATTTAATTTCAATATTGTAAAATATATGATGGAGTTCAGCAAAAGCAACATCGTTGTTGCTGTGAATGAACTTAGAACATTTCCGCAAGTTTTCTTAGAGAACCAGGAATTCAGTAAGGCTGTTGAATGTGGCTATGTGAAATTGGTCGATTCTGAAATTTTATGTAGATATTTAGTTGGGAACTTGGGCCCACAAAGCCCCAGTAAAATGGACATGTAAAAATGTATAAAGTTATGTAAGATGTGGGAGCCAAAGAGTTATTGAAACTAGATGGACAGGTTACTGATTTTTGTATTGATTCATATTGAATTGGACTCGAAAACACCCAGATAAGGTGCATTCATTTATAATTGTTATAAATAGTCAAATAATTGTTTTTGATGTTGGTAAATTTTAATTTTTTTGCTGGTCATACTTTTTGCAAGAAGGCAGACAATTTTTATTTTCTGAATGATCGATTATCCTAAATGAACATTTTACAATGAATTCAATATTTATTTTATCAAGAAACCACAAATTATTGATATTCACTTTTTAAGAAGCATTCATTGCTTGTTTATTTAAGAAAAATTTGAAGTTCATATCAGAAACTCGTAACTATATTTGGCATAAATGAATCCTGATATTTAACTATAACTTGTAATGAAGCTCATATTTTCATTATAAGTTTTTTTTTGAAGCTTCCTTTGTACATTAGTTATTGTGATTCAGTTTCAAATTCACACATCTTTTTTACCGTCAAAATAGGTGGAAAGGATGTTATTTCTTTTTCTGTAGAATATTTTGAAACCAGTTATGTTCATGAACATTAACCTGTTATTTATTTTTATGTTAGGATTTCTCGATTAACTATTATAATTTTTAGTTATTAGTTTAATTCTACTGATAGAAATAAGAACCACCCTTAATCTTGTGAATGAATTTATATACTGAATTGCTGTCTTAAGCTGTGTGAACTTCCTTTATCTTATTTAATCTTCAAACTTTCATTATTTATAGCTAATTCAAATGTAATAAAATCGTGCAGGCACAACTAATTCTAACAAGTGAGGTAAATTTGGCTTAATATAGCAATGAAGTAATTGTTGGCTGTCAAAATATACTGAAGAAAAATATATATTTTTCATTTTTCCTGATTTTAAGTTTCATTTATCATTTACAAAAATCAGGAACAAAACTAAGTTTAATAAACTATTATTACAGCAATAAACCATATATGATACTATGGTGGATTCACAATTGAAATTCTCTTTGCTGAAATTTGTTTTCAAGATAACATCCCTAAGTAACAAAAGTGAGGATGGTGTCATGTTTTCGGTTTAGCGGAGTGAGGTTGGCAGAATTTTCACATCCGAATCATCAGACTAAAATCAACGATTCACATCATCTGTACGATTTTTTTTTCGGATACGAATTTTGCAAAGAATGTGTGTTTGTAGTTATGTGGACGGTAGCCCGGTGGGTTGACGTGGGTGGTTTGTTCCACTCACTCAATCGACCGCTGTGTGAACCGGTGGTTCGAACCGCAAGGCCGAAAGATCGATTTTCACTTCCTATTGTCCAACCTGTGCTAGAAAACATACGTTAAAAAATAAGACCTCGTTAGTCCTTAGCTCGCACAAGTTTCGTTTGCAGGGAGGTGACAGCTGGATAACGGAAAAACATATTTTTTTTTTAAATAGTATCATGGATGGTATTGTTTCTGTGTTAACGAAGACTTAAGTTACATCATTTTCTAAAATTTGGACAATGATTACAGCTTGATCAAAAATGGCGAACAAATTTTGGCGGGAATGACGTTCTCTTGATGCCAATAAAACACAACTATAGTTGAGATTGTCTGGAGAATGTATCCACGGGTACATCAGTTACTGAAAATAGTGTACTTTTTTATGCTGATACAAATTAAGTATGATTTTGAATTATGGAAATGCGATCCCATCTGAAGATGAAGCAGCGCATGCGTAGATAGCTGTAAAATGATTGTGTCGATACACGTCGGTGTCTAGTATCAAAGTCAATGGAAGAGAGAGAAAGAGTGCGAAATTCCTAACTAAGGCGCAACCATGCTAATCGGAACTTCGCAAAACTTTTGCTAATAAAATGTTTGTTGCAAATGCCACAAAGAAGTTGAAATATTCCAATTGATGAATCATAAAATCACAGAATATATGTAATGTCATCTATTATTCATTAATTCCTAATTGAAACCTAGTAGCCATTAAAATATTATGTAACATAATACTAGAAAAAATACTTCAAACTTGTACCTACTTCCTGATTGACAACAATAATAAAAACAATACCTAGAAGCACATGATACTTCGGTTTTGACAAATGAGAGGTTCTCTCTGAAAAATTCAACTGAGAGAAGTAATGATCCAGCTCTAAAAATTCGATACTTTCGATTTTGTATTAAAATGAAATAAAAGTTTTATGGTTCAATTCAAATCAAAATATTTTGAAAATGAAATATAATATGTGATTTTATTGTAACAAATAGGCTGGCAACATTGCCAGTTACCGAGAGTACTGGAATCACAGAAGAGTATACATTCAGAATCTTTGTTTCTGAGCTCGGGATAATTAAAAATTGAAGTGTTTTTTGCGCAGACAGACCGTCATCTGCTGAGGGCAAATTTCTCATTAGTTGAAGCAGGAAAATGATAATTCACTGTTCTGTATCATATATTAGGTGCTGCCTGGAGGTCTGATATTTTCACTCAAACTTTTTGATATTCTGAACCCGACCTGTTTCATCGCCTTTTCGATATCCAACGCTATGTTTTGTCCACACAAAATGGCTGAGTCAACAATATTTTTTTCCTTAGATCAAAAGTGCCTTCCTTGAGTGCCCCTTTATTGTTCACACATCTGTGACTGAACACAGTTTGCCACAAGATACATGAAATATCTCTGGTGTGATCACTTGGACCCCTTCTCCATGCAAATATTTTGTTAAAAACTTTCGACCTACGACACTTTTGATGAAGAAGTAATGAATGGATCCTATAAGTTTCAGCCCCCCATTCACAGAGGAGCTGACTGACACTGCTTGACTATATCTTTGTATATATACAAAGACTATATCTTTGTATATAGGTTAATATACAAAGACTATATCTTTGTATATAGACTATATACAAATACTATATCAAATTGATACTTCATTTTCAATGTTATTCACGTTTGGAAAAATTGATATTACGCGAAAGAATTTTTACATTGATCCATAAATTGAAGATCGTAATGAAATACGAGCGACATATTTCGATTCTTGCTTCATCTATCAACATGTATACAAAGTTGGGCCATTCTTATTTCTCGACAATTTTCAACAAAATAAAAGAGAATCTGTTAAAACACCAGGATTTCTACACATCTTTACCAAAATAATTGACAGCCGTCACGATGAAAATGCCATCTATTACTAGGTAGTGAAAGCTGATTAGCCTCTTAAAATGGGTTTCGAAGAGCTTCCTCTATGGCGCGTCACTTCACTTGTTTTCGTCATGAGAAACGTTCCCTCGCGAATTCAGTTTCTTACTGGTCAAATGAATTTCGGCGACAAAATTTGTTAAAGGCCCTTAAGAAGGATAACTGTGATATAAATCTGCGAATAAACTATCGCTGCCGATGAAATTGCTGCCAGCAGCAACTCACATTTCAAAAACATCAATCCTCTACTTTGTATCTCTAATCTCAGGTTTCCAATCTATCAATTAGTTGAAACAATGCAAGAAAGAACTGTAAAAAATTGTTTCTGTTAATCAGATCATAAAAATTTCAAGAAAAAACTAAACGAGTTTAAAGATATCATTTTATTTTTTCAATCAACCATGTGTTTTAATCTTTTCCTGTTTTCTGATTTTGAATTTCAACCCTAATTTGTGCTGCACCTCTTCCCAATGTTTCGAAGAAATTTCACTAGCTTCTTCTTGGCCGTTCTTCAAAACTTCCAGTAGATGCCTCTCATCCGATAAATAATGTGATATTCTTTCTTGAATTGGCCTTAAATATTCTACCACTGCATCTGCCACTATTAATTTATATCTGAAATATTAACAATTCATTCAATAGTCAACACCATAAGACACAAGTTATCTAATCATTTACAACATAATATAATATAAAGTGTCGAGTTACTGGAGACGATTATCAGAAACCAAGAGAAATGAAGTCTATTCTAGAGCCTACTTACATGATTTTCTTTGTGTATATCTGCAGAACCGATTGCAATTTTATGAATTTCAAAATGCCATTCAAATCAGCTCACAGATACGATTTTTTATCCTAATGTAACTAACTTTGTATCTCTTAGGTTTCCGATTTTCCCATACCGACCCTACTCATCTTAAATAGACAGTATACAATATATTTCATTGAAATTCTTCCTTATCAATAAATGTGAAGTTTTTAACAATACCTAATGCTATTTGTGTTTCATAAAGAACAGGCTTTTCATGTGATCATATGGATTTTCTCTGAATAGACCAAAATGTTCTGAATTTATCAACTTACTGTCCAGTATTGAAGTTCTGAACATCTCTGCAGATTTTATTGACTGGTTCATTGGTAACAAATGAATGGATACTTATGAGATTGGATACACCAGGCCTCTCCTCTGGATCGAACGTCACCTGCAGAAAAAATAATGGCATGAAAACTTCAAAAATACAGTCCTACTCCGTTATATTCATCACTATTATTAGAATTGACTCACTAGAAAAAGATCAATTTTGACAAAGGATATTAAATATTCTGAAATTAATATGAAATGACCAATGGAAAATCTCAAAATAATCGAGAAAGAAATTTATTAAAGAACATAGACACAGATCAGTATTCACCTCTTCCACAATATTCGAAATGAATATTTGAAATGAATATTTCAACTTGTTTTTATCCAGAAAGTATGAAAATTAATCAGTATTGGTAGGCTGGCCAAAACATTGAGGAACAAGATAAAAACAACACATAATTAGAATTTTTACCTACCTGTGAGGTAAAATCTGTGACAGCCTTTTTGATATTTCTTACGATATCCTCTGGTTTATCTGTAATACATATCCTACTCTTCGGATCTGGATCTGATTTGGACATCTTCTTAGCTGGGTCTCTAAGACTTCTGAGTCTGGCATACTCCGACCCTACAAGAAAATTCAATGAATTTTAGAAAGCTACTTGAGATAGGTTACCTGTTATAATGGCGTGAGGAATAGGAAAAGTATCGCCAAATCTACTGTTGAACATTCTGGCAAGTTCCTGTGAGAGTTGAATTTGCTGAACTTGATCTTCACCAACTGGTACATGGGTTGCCCTTAAAGATTGTTCAACAACTCCGGATATTATTTCCTTTTCCATTTTATAAAAAAATATTTCCGTTTTTTATTTAACAATTATAATAATAACCCTCAAATGATTAACATTATTTACGAAAAACAAAATAGCTGGTAATTATCAAAATAGTTGGATTTCATATGCCCAAAATATTATTATATGATTGCATATACTCATATACACTGGTACAAACTTTTTCTCATGTGCATTTATCATCTAAGAGAAGAAGTTATATGCAAAGAAATAAATCTCAAGTTGAGACTGAAATTGGTATTTTCCTGTCATGTCCATTTCTTGAATTCTCCATTATTTCAGGGAGATTTTTCATATTTTGTCCAGAACACTCAAAACAAATATCAGAACACCTTGAAACTTATTCTAATATTATTATGGCTTTTCTATTGTTACTCTCTTGAACATCAAAAAAATATCCGTAAATCAAAAGGGATACAAATATGCCTGTAGCCAGATATTTAAAAGATAATATGAAAGCAAACTCATTTTGTTTTATTGATAATATAAACAAATATTAATCCAAAACAAACACTGTTCCCAAACACCAGAACTGCTGCAGTCTTCTCAACAAACAATTTCACAAACCAAGTTAGCGTCTCCAAAAGATTAAGTAGACTAATGTTTGGTAATCAAATGTTTTATTCGTGTCTCATTTGTAAAGTATGTCCATTTCATCTTTTCATTTCCGATTTCAAATGAATATCCATTCAATGTCTGTCTTACTTCATTGCTTATCAAGATTATTTCAACTAATTAATCACTCATTTATGAACTTACTTGTAAGTCAGAATGTCTGCTGCCTGTAGAACGGGGTATATAAACAGACCCAAGGGAATATCTTTAAGATCTTTGGACTTTTCTTTATATTGTGGAAGATGGGATAGTCTGCAAATTAATCTCCTCAAAACTGTCGCTAGAGACAATTTTGTAAATTCAACTACTTACCTAGGCATTGTGCAAATACAACCCAAACACCAACTAATTTGTGTATGCTCAGGAACAGTTGATTGTTGGAACAAAACTGTTTTTGTTGGATCGATACCACATCCCAAAAGAGTAGCTGTCATTTCCAAGATATTCGTTCTTAGTTTTTTAGGGTCCTGCAAAACTATAGTTTGTAAAAAATAGGGTCGATTCAGTAATTTAACCAAGTCTAAGGCCCAGTTGTATAACAATAGTTCAAGTAGCTCAGCTGAACCTTATAACTCAGAACTTGGTTTTAATATTGTATTCTGTAGTACAACTGAATTTTGAAAGATATTCAAAAAAGTGAGGTTCGAATCAAACTTTTTTAATTTAGCTAAGACTTGGCCATTAAAAATGAATTTTAGTACTAATACGATGATGAACAGAAAGCATTTTCAATGAGAAATTATTTAACCTCTCCGTAGTCAGAAAAAATATAGTAAAAGTTGTTGAATTTAAAAAATATATAAAATTAATAAAATAGTCAGCGGTAAAAAACTAATGAATATTATTTTGTTATTGATATTACAAATACCATATATTATCATGTGATATTACATGTAATTATTCATAAATTGTACCACAGCTTCATCTTGATTATTTGGAAGATTTGGTTTACTCTAGATGTTTGCAACAATTTCAAGTAGATCTTTCGATATCACACGATGCCTTGGACTTTTTCTGCTTTGGGTGAAATGCCAAATCTTTCTCAATACTTGCTCTCTTTTTTTTTGAGGGGGATATGCCAAAGGTATTGTGAAGTGTTATTTATGTATATTAGGAGCTATACCCCTCTGTAATTTTGCGAACGTCAATCAAAGTTTACAAAGTTAATATTATCAGGTAGTTTTTATTAATCAAGGTTTCAAATACAATCAAGGAGTGAATAAATAGTTTCCATTTTAAAATTTGAACTACACTTGAACAGTGACTGTGCAAAAATGTGGCTACACAATTATATCTTTGTCACAAAGAAATATATATTGCTTATTCGATAATATTTGTTAATTAAAATATAAAAAAGCAAACGGGAGGTATGTAACTTTGAATCATTTGAAGAAGAGTAGTTACCTACATGAGGCAGAGTCATAGAATGAAGATCTGCTATACTAAGTATAATGTTTTCCCCTTCATTCTGCAATTTTACCCATTGAGCTATTGCACCTAGATAATTCCCCAAATGTATTGCTCCAGTTGGTTGAATTCCCGAGAATATTCGCCTAGGGTATTTGGAAATACTTTCGGTAGCCTACGAAATTTTATTTTTAGATAATAATGGGGCGTATTCAATGAANCAGTAACGTTAGTTACAATTAAAAGTGGTAAAAAACATAGAAATTTTCATTTCTCTTTTCATTATGATCTCCTACCACGTAGTAACGGCTACATCGATCAATTTATTCAAGTTAGTCGTGGTCTTCCTCAAGGCACAGTATTGGGGCCTTTATTGTTCAATATTTATATTGATGATTTATTCAAATTGAGAAGTGAAGATGAAATTAGTGGATAAGTTGATGACACGTCAATATTTTATAAGGCAGAAACCTGGAGTTTGCTCAAAAAAAGGGTGGAAAAGACTTCAAACTAGCAAAAGAGTGGTTTGACCATTCTTTCACTATTTGGGAAAAACAACTTTTTGCCTTTCAGCTTCAATATATCGAATAGCTGTCCATGTAGGAGTATTAAAAATTCAGGTATATTTATCGATAGACATTTGAAATGGGATGCTCATATAAAATATAGTATTAAAATACTCCAATCAATACTTTACAGTTTTCGACTACTCAAAACATGTTTACCAACGTAGGAAGTAGAAAAACTATATTCCGCCTTAGTGGAAAGCCACAGCGTAGTACTAAGTTTTGCGGGTAAATTTAAATTCATTAGAAATCATTCAGAGGAGATTTTTAAAACTTATCTATTCGAAAAATATACGTTTTCCAACAGATCGACCATATAAGGAATGTTCTGTTATGGATCTCCGACAGCTATACTATTTTTGTACAACTGTAAAATATCACTTTAGTAAAAATAAAGCACATCAGTATCACAAAGAGCATACTCTTCCTATGCTGCAAAACTTTATAATACATTATCGGAAGCGGTGAGAAATTTATTTCGTAAGTCATTGTTCAAAAAGAATTAAAAAATTCATATTGGAAAATGATGGAAAGTTCATGATAAATCTTCTAGAGTTTATAAAACAGGTCTTACATGAATATTTACTCATCTTGGTTTTTATCTATTCATTTTCAATACTTGATCGTGATTTCTTCTGCAATATAATATCATCAGAGCATCATCTACAGGTACTGTTAATCCCAACTATTCCATTTCATCTTTTTCATTGCATTATTATATTATTTTAACTTTTTATTATATTTGTAATCATCACATCACAAAACTTTTTTTTTGTGTTTTATATAATTTTTATTACATCATATTATTTATTGTTTGCGAAACAAGTGCAGTAGCACTAATTGCCTAGGCACTTTACTCAACTTGTTCCCTTAAAAAATGTACTCTTGTGAATGAAATTATTATTATCATTCGTCACTAAAACTACTTCTTAGAAATTTAAATTCATAATTTAATTTGTTTGTTTTTTTTATGACTGGGAAAGGTTGGAAGAAATGAAACACTCGGTAATAAAAGTCAATATGACTAAGGGAAGAATTTAGTCGGCCCTTATTTAATTGAAAATATAAAGTGATAGACACATTAGATAGTATAATATTATCGGTTCCATACAAATCTAGAAATTTTGTTTATAATGCTCATATCATACAAATATGTTTGCACAAGTTACAAACACTACTTTCATTTATAAAGTTTGAACAAGGCACGCAAAAATAGTTTAGAGAAACTTTTTTATATAAATTCATAAGTACTTTATAGCTAGACATTTAAAATTTCTGAATTTAATGTATACATTTCAATTTCCATACTTATCTACAAACAGAAGTCTCCCGCCTGCAAGAGAAATTAGAAAAAGTTAACAAAGTTAAATCAAAGTTCAGTATTTCCATAATACACTAAGTCTACAGAGTAAAAATGATGTCCCGATCGATTTTTATCCTACTATATTCCGTTCCAGTTATAATAAATGTCGGAATAAAATTGGTTCAGTCGATAATCTTAAAATTATTTAAATATATCAAGTTTATGGGTCGGCTAGGGATAGTCGTTAGCCTCAAGTTACGAAATAAGTACTGAAATTTGATCTAAAATAACGATACAGCCTACGAATATGACAAAATCTCGCAAATATGGCGTAAATATTAAACAGCTTCTCGGAAAGTAATTTAATATTCCGGCTCGTCTTTCACAAACAAGACGATTCAGCAGAAGCGAAATAACTTCAGTTTCTTTCCCCCTGCAAAGATATGTACATACTTTAATGATGTACCCCGCTCTAGTATACGTCTGAATTTCGAATAAATTTTGAATCATCAAGATTTTTATACACATACAATCGAACAAGTAACTTTAGAAATTGTTGATTCATTATTTCTATATTAAATATTTCTAGTTTTTATCAACTGCGTACGATATGTTTCTCATTATAATATAGTTCGAAAGATAAAGAAATATATTTGAAATTAATTTTTTATGCGAACCATTTCATTAAAATTCTTCTTGCTGAATCTTCTCTCAAGTAATATACGCAAGAATTGTCAAAGATAACAAGAATAGACACATAGTCTATCATAAATATATAAGCTAAAACTAAAATATATTTGCTTCTAACTCTTACAATAACAAGTCAAATATAATAAATAATTTGAGTGTACTAGTCTTGCTTTGTTACCTGAAAATACATTGATTTTGGTGATAGATACAAGAGATGATATGAGTATTCAACAAAATAAGAAAAATATAAAACACGAACAATTATTTACATCGAATGAATTGTCTTGGTGATAATTCTAAAAAGAAGCGTTCAATTAACCTCAGCATCAGATTGAATAGATGTTGACGCTTTCGAGGGCCGAATTTTTTCACGGATTTCAGAAACGAACATTGCCAGCGATAATTCAATTTTCTCTATCACCAACATCGTTTACTGTAATTAAACACATTGGGAGAATTCAATCAGTAATTTAAACAAAACTTCAGGAACAAAACAAGACGCACAGAAACATTAGATAAAATCTGACAAAAATCCAACAGCGAAAAAATGTTCCCGACACGACATAGCATTATTCTTATCCAATATATCACGCATTCGACATTGAAAAATGTCAATATTTGCGAAAACCGCCCTTCATTACAAAAGATCACAACATATTGATCTCGGTCTCAATATTTGGTGTCAGAGGTGGAATTGACCATCGGAAGTGGAACATGCTCTCCTTTGTGATGAAGGACAGTTTTGCAAACGAAGCGTGCCAAAAATATGTATGCCGTTAAAATGTCCGTAATCGGTATCTTCAAACTTTTCTAATTTTTTCCGCGTCCGTCGACGCTCAACCTGTACTATGTCAACAGCTTGAAGAACATAATGGCCAAGGAGATATTGATGAAGAGCACTACAAGGACCAACTGCTGGCGCGTGAACCAATCCTGAAAAAATTGAATAGTTTTAAGTCTTTTGACACAAAAATGGTTCGAGTTTTGATGTTCAACTACTGCGCATGTGTGAGTATCATGTAAAAACAAACGTTCGTGGGGCGTGCAGTAGTAAGTGTTGGTTCATAACCAAGCTATGTCGGTGAGGCAAACAAAATTAAAGCAAGTATTGTAACTTTTCTGGTTCTATGACTCTAATTGTTTCGGTCAATCTACATTCCTATGTGAAATAAACAATATTTGTGGAGTAGAATTGGTGTTGGTTGTCCAACGCCTTTTTCTGTTCATTGCAAATCTACACTGACACTTCTCCCAACCAAATTTAGTGGTATCGTATAATAACATTATTTATATTCATTTGCAAAACGGTTTTACAATTCTTTAAATTCAGAAGGAATCTAATCAAAGAATATCAATGTGGTGTAGGTTCAGACATTAAATTTCGTTCATTAGTGGTGAAATCAGAAAAACAGTTTGACAAAATGGTTTAGACTTTCGCGGCTGAGGTTTTCAGTGCCATCATTTTCCGAGTTTGAAAGCTATGGATTTTTGGAATTTCTTCCCGACGTTTCGCTGGCGCGAGTGGCTAGCTTCTTCAGAGGTTTAACCATATGGGGTTCCATATTCGGTTGAGGTTCACCGCTTCTTCTTTTCTGTTGAAATTCTCCGTGTGTTTGTGGATCTCTATTGCCTCCCGTACCAGTGGGTTATAGTATCCCTGGTTGGGGGCAATTAGTTCTGTATTTTCAAACAAGATTGTGTGGTCTCCTTCACTAAGTGCGTGTTCTGCCACAGCTGACTTGTCCGCTTGGCCTTGGCTTGGCCTTCAAACCGTTTCATGAAGGAAAAGCGATAGACACTTTTGAATTGAAGCCGACCTTGTGGCTACGTTACGTAGATGACACTTTCGTTATCTGGAAACATGGAAGAGACGCCCTGAACCGTTTCCTATACCACTTAAACGCCCAACACCCGAGGATAAAATTCACCATGGAGATTGAGCAGGACCAACGGATAGCTTCAACGGATAGCTTTCCTAGATATATTAGTAGAACGATGTGGTACCAGACTAACCCACAAAGTGTATCAAAAACCCACACACACACACACAGATAGATACTTGCACGCACTATCGAACCACCATCCTATCCAAAAGAGAGGAGTAATCTTCATAACGGAACGGGCTCGGAGAATATGTGAACCAGAACATCTGGAGAGGGAACTGAAACACCTTGAAGGGACCTTGAGATCGAATGGATACAGTGCCTCCGAGATCAGGAAAGTCATGAAACCAAAAGGATCAGATGGTGACACGCGCATATCTACCATTTATCCCTAGGGTCACGGACAGAAATGGAAAACTATTGGATAAACACGACATCGAAACAGTCCTCAAACCCACGAGGAAGATAACAAAGCCTCAGATCGGCTAAAGACAAAAGATACCCATTATCAGCAGCAGGGGTCTATCGCATACCGTGCACTTGTGGGAAGGTATATATCGAAACCACCAAACGATCCATGGGAACATGACTAAAAGAGCATAAAAGGAACTGCAGACTAGGCCAAGCGGACAAGTCAGAGGTGGCAGAACACGTACTTAGTGAAGGAGACCACACAATCTTGTTTGAAAACACAGAACTAATTACCCCCAACCAGGGATACTATAACCGACTG